TATTTAATGTAATTTAGCAATTAACATTGATTTTATTTTAATTTTATTTTATTTTTTTATTTGATCTAAATTATTTAAAATTTGATAGAAAATTAAAGGATTTGATTCTTAATTATTAGTACATTATCATATTTATGGAAGTTAGATAAACATACCTATTTAATAATGGAATTTAATGTTTAAAATTATTTTATTAATATAAAACTTAATTTTTGTTTTGTTTTTATTTTTTTTATTTACAGTTTTTTTATTTTTATTTTTTTTTATTAGATACAAATTATTTTAAATATTGTTAGAAATTGGATCAACAAAATCATTCATTTAAAAAAATTTGGATTTGCAAATATTGCAAGTAAATGTTTATCAGTACATTTCGCAAATCCAAATTTTTTTTTAATGAATGATTTTGTTGATCCAATTTCTAACAATATTTAAAATAATTTGTATCTAATAAAAAAAAATAAAAATAAAAAAACTGTAAATAAAAAAAAATAAAAACAAAACAAAAATTAAGTTTTATATTAATAAAATAATTTAAATATTAAATTCCATTAAATATGTATGTTTATTCAACTTCTATATATATAATAATATACTAATAATTAAAAGAATCAAATCATTTAATTTTCTAATAATATTTAAAATAAATTATATCTAATTAAAAAAAAGAATAAAACTAAAATAAAATCAATGGCCTATTAATAAAATAATTTTTCAATTGCTAAATTGCATATGTAATGTACTAATAATTAAAGTTAATTAATAAAATAATTTTAAATACCAAATTACATTAAATACCAATATGTTTATGTAACTTTCACATATATTCAATTTACTACTAAATACTAGGTATATTTATATATGTAACTTACCACATATATTTAATATACTAATAATTGAAAGATCCAATTTTTTGGCAATTTAAAAATAAAAAAACCAAAAAGTCAATATTTTTTCAATAAACCAATTTTTTAAATGCCAAATAGCATTAAATAAATAGTATATTTATATAACATTATCTACAAAGATAGTATATAATGAATTGGATAATTAAATAATTTATTTATATATTCTTAATGTAATATATATATATTATATTAAAGTAAACTTCCATAAATAGCATGTGATGTATTATTTTATAACAATTAGAATAATAAATTAAATTATTAATTAATTATATCAATTATAAATTTTTGTAAATTTCTTTACAAAATTTTCGTATAATATTTATAAAACACAATGTTCATATAACTTTTATATATTAAATAAATAATAAAACAATATTTAGTATTCTGATTTAAAAAAAAAATAAATGTCTATTATCTGATTAAATATTTACATTAAATTGCTAAAAGCTAAACTGCTTTAGCTTGAAATCAAGTAATTACAAATAGAAAGATAAAATATATATAGCTTGTTAATTGTTATATTGTTTTTTGAGATATTTTAAATGGTAGCAGTTTTATACCTTTAGGATTAATAAATAAATAATAAAATATTAACATTTTCTTGAAATAATTTTTTATATTTTTAAATATTTATAAATGCTAATAACTTTTATTTATTGATAATAGAAATATGAAATTACCACTATTTAGCATATTTTTATGAGACAAAGCCAACAAAATATAATTTATTTATTTATGATTACTGAATGATTAGTTAAAATATTTACATTCATAATGCTGGCCAAATTTACAAAAACGGACATAAATGTCCATTTTTATAATTCTGGCGCAAACGGACATTTATGTCCGTTTTATAATTCCGTCCAAATTTTACTGGGCGAAATTATATTAATTCTGGCCAAATTAATGTGTAACCTTGAAAATTTTTTTGCCTTTTTTATAGTTACAAGGTGGTACAAAATGTACATTAATGCAATCCTTGACNAATAAATAATAAAATATTAATATTTTCTTGAAATAATTTTTTATATTTTTAAATATTTATAAATGCTAATAACTTTTATTTATTGATAATAGAAATATGAAATTACCACTATTTAGCATATTTTGATGAGACAAAGCCAACAAAATATAATTTATTTATTTATGATTACTGAATAATTAGTTAAAATATTTACATTCATAATGCTGGCCAAATTTACAAAAACGGACATAAATGTCCGTTTTTATAATTCCGGCCAAATTTATGTCCGTTTTATAATTCCGGCCAAATTTTGCTGGACGAAATTATCTTAATTCTGGCCAAATTAATGTGTAACCTTTAAAATTTTTTTTCCTTTTTTATAGTTACAAGGTGGTACAAAATGTATATTAATGCAATCCTTGACCATGAGTTTATAAGTAAATATCCGGTCAAAAGTTATAAAATTGCCTTATTTGTAATTAAACGTTGGTAAGTTGTTTGGACCAATCAGATCTCGTGGGCTAATCTGGCCCATGGGCAGTTTATAAGCTAGGATGTAGTGCACGCCCACTTAGCTTAGAAACTATGCCGATCATTTGGCTGGGGTGGGATCGATACTGTGGTGCTATTATAATTTTTTCTTTCTTGGTTACTTTTTTTTTACTAATATTTCATTTTTCCTAATTTTTTTTTGTTCTTTTGTCTTTTAGGTTTGGATCGGGCCAGTGCTTTGATGTAATCAAAATCAAAATAAATACTTTTTTTTTATTTAAATAAATACTGTATATTTTATATGATTTCTTTTAGGTTAATAGAATAAATATAATTTTTAAAAAATATCCAGCCAAAAAAAAATAAAATTAATAATTTTTTAAATATTTTCTAAATAGTTATTAGTTAGTATAATTAATACTTATTTTATTATTGTCTTTTTTTATTGTTAATTATTATGACATAATTTATTTAATATAGTTAAAATTTTAATCAATTTTTATTTTTCATTCACATTATAATCCAAATTATAAATAAATAAAAAACCTTAATGCAATGATTAACTCAATATATATGAAATTTCATGCTAATTTAAACTCATTGATCATTTTGCAACGCGACAAGTTACAGCAAGTTATCATAAAAAAAAAAATACAAAGTTAAATAATGAATTTAATCGGTAATTAATTTTATTATTTATCTTTTTTTTTATTTTTAAAACTAGTAGAGCCCAAATTACAAATATTTGATAAAACGAAATACATAAAGTAGAATATAAAATATGTCCTAAATGAACTACACGCGTAAATAGAACAATGTAACAATATAAATAAAAGTTGCAATCTGACAAAAGTATTTTCTTTTTCTGTTATTAATATACTTTTTTTTTAAAAAAAAAAAAAGAGATAAATCTTGAAATAAAATTCAAAGAAATTAAGTAGTAGCTTAAATTTAATCTGCCTGAAATTTATTCATAATGATAAAACATACTTTTTTTTTCAAAAATAAATGAATAAATAAATTAATTAAACGTATAATTGGAAAAAATGATAAACTTTTAATATACTGACGTTACAAAAAAAATACTGTAGTTAATCTGAACACTAGTTAATTATTAAATTTTAATGTTAACTTTGTAGCAAAATCTGGAAGGACAGATTTTGTACTACAGTATATACTGCATATACTGTATACACGATCATACTAAATTTTGATATTATTTCTTTTGATAAAAGAAGTCTCGTCTTTAGTTTCATAGAAAAGAATTTAATTATATCAAAAGTGTTGAAACCGGTAAATTCACTGTTTATTATAAAATAATTTAGGAATATGACCATTTAAAAACACCAAAGTTTTTTTTTAAAAAAAAATCGATACGGGTCGATTCAGAATGTCATCCATTAATAATTCTTTATCATAAAATACATATAATTGATATAAAGAAACGCTGAATTTAATAGTTTATGTGAATCAGTTTAGATTAAGCTTATTACTGTTTAATTAAATTTCAGACATACAGTATTTTGATAACAACAAATATTACCTATCAAGCTATCATTACTATCATTAGTTAATCAAATTTTAAATGGTGACTAACTAGAGTTACTAGACTAACTAAGCTTCTTTGTCTGTGTTGTTTTTTTTAAAAAAAATTTTCCTCTATTTACATTATTTACTATAATGTAAATATGAATTTTCAGATTGCCATATTTAATATTAATAACAGGATGATGACATAGTAATAAGCTAATTGTATTAAATATTATGGTTGGTGAAGGGGAATCGTGATTGTTGTTTAAAGGTGTTAAAAACCGTGGTACGTAAAGTAATAAGGCTTTGAACTGGATAATTATGATGTTTAGATTTGATAATGGTAGAATTATGCGGTTTGTATTGTTGAAAAATAAATAGATTATTGGTGTTAGATAAAATCATACATTTGGGTCGAAGATCTCTGTAATATCGAGTATAAAGAACAACCCTTACATAGAATTAGAATAGGTGTTCATTTTCGAGGCGTTGAATTTGTTTGTTCCAAAGGCTATTCATATTCTATATGTGATACTAATGTAAAATGGATCGTTAACTTGTTCTATACTTTTACCATATATAGGTTGATTAGTGACAACATCAGGAAATTTTTTCCACTTAAAATCCACATGGAATTCCATATTGAATATTTTTATTTTTATCATGAAGACAGAAACCGGGATTACAAGTAAAAGGTAGAAGTATGAATTACAAAAATAATACTAAACTACACGATACGAGTTGTTCTGACCCCAAAAGGAGTTGTCCCATCTAATATTTACCAACTACTCTAGGCGTAACTGAGCTACTCACCCCCATGAAAAAAATCCACATTGAATGTTGTGGAAATATGTGGAAATTGTGACAATACACGTGGTATTTTCAGCGTAGATCCACAAAATTTGAAACTCTATTACCTATATAATTGGTCAATAAAAAGACTTGATAAGAATGAATGATTACAAAAGCGCTTATAATCTATATAAAACAAAATGTGTGAATATATAGTATGTCTGATATCTCTTTAAAACAAAGTTTCTCAGTTTATACACATTATCTATTAATCGTAAAATTTTTGTACTAAAATTTTCTGAAAGTTTTCACGTGCTTAGGGCCCTTTAAAGTTAAGCTAATCTCTCCAAATTAATTTAACGGACACATGATATCTGCTGCAGCCGCAGTTTATAACTTCTTGTGATGGTGCATCAATTGCTGCATCTTGCGCTGGTGCACCTTTTGGCGGTGGTGGTATTGATGGTGGTACTGGTGGTACTGGTGCTGGTGCTGGTGGTTTGGGTGCTTTAGGCGGTGGAGGTGGTTCCTTTGGTTCTTTTGGTGGTTCTTTTAGAAGTAGAGGTGGAGCTGGTTCTTTTGGTAGCTCTTTTGGTGGAGCTGGAGCTGAAGCTGGAGCTGGAGCTGGTGCTGGTTCTTTTGGTGGCTCTTCAGGTGGAGGTGCTGGTGCTGGTGCTGGTTCTTTTGGTGGTTCTTTTGGAGGTGGAGGTGGAGGTGGAGCTGGTGCTTTACCATCTGGTGCTTTACCATCTTCACCTGCTGGTGCTTTACCATCTCCTGCTGGTGCTTTGCCATCTCCACCATCTGGTGCTTTGCCATCTCCACCATCTGGTGCTTTGCCATCTCCACCATCTGGTACTTTGCCATCTCCACCTGCTGGTGCTTTGCCATCTCCACCTGCTGCTGGTGTTGTACCACCATCTCCATCTGCTGTTGGTGTTTTACCATCTCCACCTGCTGGTGCTTTACCACCATCTCCACCTGCTGTTGGTGTTTTACCATCTCCACCTGCTGGTGCACCTGCTGGTGCTTTGCCATCTCCACCATTTGGTGCTTTACCACCATCTCCACCTGGTGCCTTACCGCCATCTCCACCTGGTGCTTTACCTCCATCTCCACCTGGTGCTTTACCGCCATCTCCACCTCCGCCGCCTGGTGCTTTACCGCCATCTCCACCTCCGCCGCCTGGTCCTGGTCCTGGTCCTTGTCGTTTTTGAAGAGTGTTACTAATTGAATTAATTGATTCGTAAGTCGTAAAGGTAAAATTAGTGGTAAAAAATATTATAACAATCGCTATAATAAATATAAGTTTATTTTTAAATAAAACGTAAACCATATTGTTTATTTAATTTGTTAATTCCTAATAAAAATTTTTATTTTTTATTTTTTTAATTCATTGATAAGATTAAAGCTTATGAAAGAAAGTTTCTTTAAAAAATTTTGGAATTTACGTGCTGAAATGTGATATTTTTATACATTAAATGAATTCTCTTTTTTGGTTATTCATTTACATTTCTTCATCATTGTATATTAACAAAAAAGGAGAGCATAGTAAAAATGTAGTGTATGGAAACCTTTGTACTCTCGTACGTAGATAACATGTAGTGTATGGATACCTATGTATGTAGGGTATGCAATACGTAGGGTATGGTAAAACATCACTCCTTTTTTAGTAATAAACAATGTAGATCTGTATGGAATGCGCGTGTATACCCTAACATACAAAGGTATCTATAAACAATAAATTAAGCTCTTGTTCCTAAACATACAATAAGAATAATAGTTGAAGACGTAATAATGGGGTCGCGCAGGCAATCAGGCAGTGATATAAATTCAAAAAATTTTTTATACACGCAAAATGTAAATTGTAAAAATCCTTGAAAAGTTTGTGCGATTATGTGCACATTATATGTAAAAGTAAAATAATTAAGCGATTCCAATTTAATGTACGCTACACCTATTGTTCTACCCCAATTTATATCATTACGCACAGGTTTATGTCCACGATAGATGATACTACTGTAAGAGAATAATTCAATAATAGTTAATACAATGTAAATTTCTTTATTTTAAATCTGAAGATTTTTGAATTTACTCGATTAGAACTTTTTGCAACAATGACGTGTTTTTTTCAACCACTTATGATAATCCAATCTGGCGTTATAAGTCATGATAGGTTTCATTATGCATCACAGGTACATATATGGTATATACTACAAGATTATATCCTTACATGAATATCAAATCGTTTACAATATATTTTGTTAGGAATGCAGTATATAAAAAGTAAATGTTTATGTTGTTGTAACCAATAAAGAATTTACAAAGATAAAACTCGGATAGTTATAATAATTATAAGTAACTGATTTAAATTAAAAAATATTTATTAATAGTCAATAGTTATAAGTCAAATAATCTTATAATGTAATTATATTATAATATATTAAATAATAATAATAAATTGTATACAAATAAATTAATCGAATATTCTATATCCTTTTAGTTTAAAATAGTTAAAAATAGTTAATCACAATCACATGTTATCGGTTATATTCATAAATAAATAAATTTATTTTATTTATTTATTTTATTTAATTTTAGAAAATTTTTTTTTTTTCAATAAGTTATATTTTTTAATGAATTTTCGTAAAACGAAAAGAAAAAAAAAGAAAATTCTATCAAGAAAGGTAGAAGTGGCAAAATTGGATAATTTATTTATTTATTTTTTTTTTCATTGTACTTTTCGGGTAAAATGTTGAAACAAATAAGATAGTACCAAATGCAATTCTGCCAACCCGACATGGTTTCACACACACATATATAAAATATAAGTTAATGATTGACAAAAAATTTTATCCAAGTTTCGTTTTGACTGGTGAATAACGGTGTATCGATAAGCCAATTTTTGAAAAAGGAAAAAAATATAATGTAAACGAATAACAAATAATTTACATTTGGCTAATAAAGAAAAACTTTAGTAAAACGATTAATTCCAATTTTATTTTAAAAAGTAAAATTTGAAACTTTGAAACAAAAACTCCTTTGTTTCATATCATTTACGTTTAGTTAGTCTGTATTATTATTTAAATAGGTTATTTTAGTTAAAAAGAATTTTTTTTAAAGTAAATAATAATATTAAAATATACTTGCTTTCTTTTTTGTTGAAAAACTTTTCTTGCGATCCTCTATATATTTTTTTTTTATAGGCTACTGGGAATAAATAACTATATGAGCTAATTTTTTCTTCTTTATAACTAGAGTCATACCCTAGGGCCGGTGACCGGCCCCTTCTAAGAGTATGATATATACCATAAATTTTAACACTTATTTGCAGAAACAAAAGTATTGATAAGATATAATTTGAAATAAATAAATAATTTATTTTATTTTTTTTTCATCTAAAATATTTTAATTTGTTTTTTACGTTTTAATTTAATAATCTTGTAATTGGCCTTAAAAGAAAAATTTATAAAAAACAATTTTTTTTAAAAAATTTTTTTCGTTTCTACTTTCTAACCAAAATAAAATAATTCAATAAAATTTATTTCTTTTTTAAAAAAATTTTTCGTTTCTACTTTCTAACCAAAATAAAATAATTCAATAAAATTTATTTCACATGATTAAAACTTAATATTGTAGGATATTTCAAATCAAATTTGGACGATTCTATGTCCACATATTATGTTTTTAATAAATCAATTCATGTAATATATAATTTTTTTTATAAATCAATTCATGTAATATATATTTTAATAAGAAAATTCATATAATTTTTCTTTAATAATTAAATTCATATAATGTTTTTAATAATTTTAAAAGTTTGTATTATATTTTTAATTATAATTTTTTACTAATAAATATTTTTTTAATAAATAAATTTAATAAATTCGGATATATAATTTTTCTTAATAAATCAATTCATGTAATATATATTTTAATAATTAAATTTGTATAATGTTTTTTTAATAATTACTAAATTTGTATAATGCTTTTTTTAATAAATAAACTCGTATAATGTTTTTTAATGAATAAATTAAATAAATTCGGGTATATATATTAAAATTCAGATATATATATATTTTTGGATATATATATTTTTTATATAATTTGGATATATGTATATTTTAATAAAATTCAGACATATTTTTTTTTATATTTGATCAGGTTCATTTAAGAATGTTATTCGCTTTATATATTTAATTTCCTTCAATTCCTATTATAATTAATCCCAAAAATTAGCCTCCTGAACAATGTATACTGTACGAATAATAAATATTTCCTTGATGTTAATATGTAGTTAGCTCCCAGATTTTTGGCCAGCCAAATTGACAATTCATAATTCCTTGATGTCAATATATGGTTAGCTCTTGATTTTTGATCAACCAATTCGGATCATGCTGCAGATCATGATTAATTTTTTTTTTTTTATATAAACGACCATTGTTCGTAATATTGAACTCAATATCAACTCAATATCAATATCAATATCAATTCAATATCAATTCAATACAATGTCAATATCAATATCAATATCAATATCAATATCAATATCAATATCAATAATATAAAAACGTACCCTATACTTAGCGCATAAGAGCTAACCAAATTAGTAAAATTTTCCTTCCTTTCCAGGATAGCACGATTAGCATAACAACCAATTACAAGGACTATCACTATTAAAATGAAGATCACCTGATATCGTTAACTATATAGTGTGATCTGTATATAGTGTCAAAAAAAAGGAATCGATCTTCATTAAACAGTATACCGAAACAAATAAATAGTAATAATAATGGGAATAAAGTAAAAAAATACGAGTCCATAAAGGATGTGTAACTAAAAATAGGTTGTTATTGACCTTCCAACTGTTTTTATTGGTGTATATTATAAATATTACAGGGCATAGATCAACGCAGGGGAGGATATTTTGTTAGGACGCAGTATATAGTCTTTACATCCTCATTTATTTTTAAGAATATCATATCAAAGAAAAATTCTAAAAAGTTCGATAGAAAGTACTTTATTTTAATGTTGTTACTGAGAATTCACAATAATTATTATAACATATGATTTCATCTTGCATTAATACTAAACCACATTTGGACATGTCCATTGTTTTGATTCTTGTAAACTCTTGATTTACTCATAAGAAAATTAAGGTTATAATCAAAAAAAATTTTAAAGAAGGAAGAGACAAATCACAGCTGTTACCTCAAAATACATAAAAAGAACATTTATTCTAGAAAATTCTAACAATAAACACGTATTCTTAATAGGTAACCCCTACAAACCTACGTCAGTGGCACAGCTAGGCCACCGATTTTTGTTTTTGTTTATACAGACTTTTTTCGCAGTTTAATTTATTTACACTACACTTATATCTTAAAATATAGAACTTAACGAAAATAAAGTATCTTTAACAAAGTAATTTACAAGTTTAATAAATTAAGATACTAAAAAGAATACTCAAAATATTAAAAAAAAAATACTTTATTTTGTTAAAAATACCTTTGTTTTCGTTAAAAATACCTTTGTTTTCGTTAAAAAAAAATAATAAAAAATGCTTTGTTTTCGTTAAAAAACCACTTTAAAAATACTTGTTTTATTAAAAAATCACTTTATAAATACTTATTTTCATTCTTTAAAATGCTTTTTTTTTGTTAAAATTACTGTTTTGTTATATACTCGTATGCAAAAAATAAAAAAAAATTCAATAATAAGATATTTTTTCTTTCATTAAAAACGCCATGATAAATGTTACACAATGATAAAACTAGTAATATCTGTGCCACTGATGTGGTTTCCTGATGGGTTTGTAGGGGTTACCATTCTTATGTCCTTAATAGATGCGGTTGTTCTAAAATATATAAAGATAAACCTTTTTTTAAAAATTCTTCTATCAATAATTTTGTGAAATAGGAAATAGAAGAAATTTAAATATTTTATTTCACCCTCAAATTACAATCTTCCTTAATTAAATAATTATTTTTTTTATTATAACAATTGAAGATTTTGGTATAGTGCATATAAGCATCACATTGTACTTATCAAGTCATCTAAAGTTAATCAATTTTTTCATAAATATTTTTATTCTATTTTTTTTTGAGTTGTTTTTATCTCAACAAAGTAAGTCTTTTTTTTTGCCTTGATAGTTCGTTAAAATTCGCGTGCCAAATATTTATGATTTTTACTTCAAATCACCGGGGGTGATCATCACCGTTGGCCAGAATTATCAATTTTTACCGGCACTATATTTTTATAATGCTGGTCGATCATCATAATTTCAGTCACCAGTGATCATCACCCCGGTGATAATTTAGAAAAATTCAATATTTA